TATTTAATCAAAGTTCAGTCAATATTACAGACCATAATGTAGAATAAAAGTAACGAAAAATAAGAAAACCATGAAACAAAAACTTAAGAAAAAAGATAGAAAGGACCCTTCTTGATGAAACTTAATCATCCCAATTTCCCTGGTTCAGCTGCATATCTTCCAAGTTTGGTGTAAATGTCAACAATTTGATTTCCCAGGTTGGTGAATTGTGTGATGGTCTGTTGAAAGTGCTGATAGGTCATTTGCATATGCTTCCTTTGATTTTCTTGCATTGTGGCCATTTGAGAGAGCATGGTACTTTCAAACTGGGAGAGAGGGGATCCACGGTCAGGTTGCTCCATGTATGGTATGATCTCCATGTTCTCATAGGAAGCTTGACCACCAGTGGATTCAGGAACCTCTGCAGCAGCTGGAGAAGAAGGAATTTGACCTTGATCATCTTCTTCCTCATCTCCAAACATCTTAGCATCAATCTTAGAGATCCATTCTCCATCAATTTTTATAAATCTCATCTTCTGCAAAGTGGAATCATCAATATTATTGGAGGCCTTTGGAGTTTCCACATATTCTCTTGCAAGATCTTTTAATGGTTTTAACTGATGTAAATCATTTTTAATCGATTAAAACAGAGAGAACAAAACTATACTAAACATTTTAATCGATTAAAACTGTACGAAAAACTTTTATGGTATTCCTGTAAGTGAAATTAATCGATTAAAACAGTTTTATATCAATTAAAATACTCAGTTCATGAATCCAGAATCGAAATTTCTGATTAGGTACCAAAGAACTTCCAGATTTTGTTCCTGTAAAACATATTTAACATATATCTGGTACCCTTTTTATAATCATTAGGTCCAATCAGGTTATTTGAAATGAATTCTTGGGAATCCACTTCATTCTACCTCTTGGTATAGCATACTTCTTTATTCTACAAAATTTCACAGAATGACCTATTTTCATACAATAGAAGCATGTAATAAATGGTGACGAAACAAATTTACTATATGCAAAATAGTTTTTAATTGCTCTAGTTTTCTTTCCAACAAGAGATGTAAAACCAATACTACCATGATCAATAACCAACTTTTGAGAATCAAGTATAACATCAAGACTAGTTTTTCCTTGTGCAAGTTTAGATGCAGTTTTTATTAAATATGCCAATTTCTTTTGTAACTCAGGACAATTTTCACAATCTTTTTTATCATTACACATGCAATCAGAATTATTACCTATTTTCTGATTTTCATTCTTAGTTTCTTTATCAAGAATTTCCTTTTCAAGAAGAATGATTTTGTTTTCTAATAAACTATCCATGTTTTTTAATCTTTTGTTTTCAATTTCTAATTTCTTAGCTACTGCATGCATTTCATAAAAAGCATATTGTAATGAGCTATAATTCATAGTAGTTTTTGAAGAATCAGAACTTACACTGGACATGGGAGAATTCAAATTGACCATCAAACACATCTCTGTTGTTTCTTCATAAGTCATTTCAAGAGTTTTCCACATCTGTACAATAGTCTGGCAATGAGATACCCTGAAAAATTCATTTCTGTTAAGTGCGGATGTGATGATATTCTTAGCAATATAGTCATCTTGAATTTGTTTCTTTTCATAATCATTCAAACCAGACCATTCTCTGTTAAAAACATAAGAGCCTTGCTCAATAATATTTCAAACATTTATATCAACAAATTCAATAAAGATCTTCATTCTTATCTTTCAAAATGAATAATCTGTACCACAAAACAGTAGAGGTCTATCAATACAAGCACCCTCAGAAAAATTATTTTCAGCCATTTGGATCGAAAGACTTGAGTAAATTTCAAGAACCTTGCTCTGATACCAATTGTTAGAAAAGGAGGTTGAGATCAAAAGGGGGGGGTGAATTGATATTTGAAATATTTTCGCAAATTATAGATTATCTATTTCAAAGATTAAGAGTTCTGACCAATTCTTGAATCAAACAAAACAAACAATCAAAATAAAGGCAGCAGCAGAATTAAAGAGAGAAAGGTTTAGAGAGATACAACCAAGATTTATACTGGTTCACCCAATCCCAGGGCTACCTCCAGTTCTCAGCCAAATTCCAGCTGAGTTCCACTAGATTGAACGTTTTACAGATTACAACTCCAATTACACACCCAATCTACCACACGAACCAAAATTCCAGTCCTTGCACCTAAACTTTCACCAAGAACCAACTTCCAGTTCTTGAACTACCCTGCAACCAAATTCCACCCACAGAAACCAGTGCCCACACTTCCAGACACCCAATCTTACCACAAGAACCAAATTCCAATTCTTGCACCTAAACCTTCACCAAGAACCAAGTTCCAGTTCTTGAATCAACCTGCAGCCAAATTCCAGCTACAGAACCAGTGCCCACACTTCCAGACACTCACAATACAGTAAATAAATGTAAAAGAAATAAAGAGAATAAACTAGAACACTCAAACCCGGATTATGCTGCTTTACAGAATGAGTTTCTTCACAAAAGAAATGCAAAAAATGTCTCAAGAAAGAACTTTGAAAAACTTTACAAAACTTGTGTGATTCTTTCTTGAAAGTAGCTCTTATGATTGCTTGATTGATTGCTCAAAGGTATTATTTAAAAGACTCAAGCAATCTTGTTTATATAGAAGATTTTTCAAACTGCTGGTTTAATTAATCTGTTAAAATAATCTTTTAATCTGTTAAAAGTCTTGAATTAATCTGTTAAAACTTCTTTTAATCTGATAAAATGTTCTTAATCATTTTCCAACTGATGTGACATCATTTCAATCAATTAAAACACTTTGTAAAAAATCTCTTAGGTTATTTTAATCGATTAATTCGCCTTTTAATCAATTAAAATACTATCAAATGTTTTCATAAAACTTTCCAAGTGATTTTAATGATAAAAATCTGTTTTAATCGATTAAAACACTTTGAAAAAAATCTCTTAGTTGTTTTAATCGATTATTTCGCATTTTAAATTCAGACAGATCTAGTTGTGTGAAGACATGATCCAGTCTTCTTAAATAATACTCCTACCGAATTAAAATGGGTACATGGTAAATCACATTTTATTAACATGAACAGATTATTTATTATACGAACATAGTCACTGAAAAAAATTAATGGAAATGGACCAAATCACATTTTTCTTGAAAATAAAGGACGTCTTACTGATTTGAAAATTGTAGAAATTAAAATTCAATTTGATTTTAAAATAAACAAATCATTTGGTAGGCTTTACTTATCTCAAGCTGAGTTGTATGAGAAGACACCTTAGAACACTAATCAAAATGAAATACAGATAAAAGTGCATTTTTCCTTTAAATTAAGTTCTAATAGTATTAGTTAAAACCTATTACATAAAACATATTAAAACTTATTATACTTTTAAGAAAAAAAAAGATTTCTCAACTTATATTTAAAGATTCACTTGTTAGTAGTTTTTTAATTATTTTTTTATTTTTATCTTTACATTTCAAAATTTTGATTTTTGATTTTTTTTTCTTTGTAAGATTGTGATTTTCCTTTCCAAAAATTGTATCATATGGACGGTCGGAAAACAAATAAATTCAAGGGAAAAATAAATACAAATTTAACTTTATGCCTAGAAAGAATTTGGTGAGGATAATTTATTTTGAAGAAATTTTGAAATATACTCATGATAAATTATATTATTTGAATAGAAAATTTTAAAAAAATTGAAATCATAGAAAATTATGAGAGTATTTTTTTTAATTTCATAAATTTAAATTTGAATTTTTTTATATTTTTCTTTTTCAAATAGAAATATCTTTTGTTCGTATTGTTTTCTTATATTGATCTCAGTTATTATATCATTGATTCAATTAAAGTCGACAAACATTATTGACTCGACAAATTTTTTTAAAACAAAAGATTCTTTTTATGTTGAAATTAATCATGATTATTTTTCGATTTTTTTATAAGATTACCTTTATCAATATAGGTCAATGTTAATTTTTTAGAATTATTTTTATCAACGATAATAGAAAATCTGAAAAAATAAACTAAATAAAAACTTATAAAAAATTAACCTCAATTGATGTTAATCAATATAATTATTATCGACATCAATTTAAAGTAACCTCAATCAATAGTAACCAAGAAACATAAAAGTTTCTTAAAATAAACTAAAAAAATTAATAAATTTAGATTGAAAAATAATATCTATTAACGGAAACTAAAAAGCATAACTAAAAGATTTCTTAAATGGTTAAATATTTTAAAAATTAAAATAAATATTTTATTTATCTAAAAAATAAAATATTTTATTCAAATAAAAATTTAAAATTTAATAAATTTGAATTGTCTTGCTTAATTATTTTTAAACTTAAACAGTTTAAAATCAAAACTATTTAAATTTAATATATTTGATTTTCTTAAAAATTATGAAGTTTTGTTCAAAAAACAAAATCGTTGTATAAACCATAGTTTGATCAATGGGATATCATAAGAATATATATTGCAAGAGCTTTGTGCAATTTCTACCAATTATTGCCACTAGGCGCCTTTAAGGTTTTTACCTTTCACACTAAGTTAACGTGTAGAAGGAATGAACAAATTCAATGTTTACTTGATAAAATGTTATTTCGTAGCGTAAGGAAATGAACAAACCCACAGTGTTTTGAATATAGAATGGACCAGATATAGTTTGACCAGGAAAGCATCAATCACCAAAGAAGTTAGAATTGAAGAACAGTGCAAGAACTATCTCAGTCATTTAAAATTCTTAGCCATTTAATAATAAAAGTTTGCACTAAAGCATGGGATAAACAATCCAAATGAAACTTCAATTCTAGTTTAGAAACAAAGTCTAAAAGTTTGTGCCTAATCATTTTCAAGACAAAGCATGTTTCTTCCATTATTCATCAGTCATTACAGTTATCTGATACTAGTGTAGCAAAGTGAGATACAAGTCTATGTTTAATCATAAACAAAAGGACAAAAGAAGAGAATGTAAGAAAACCAGAAAGCAGTTGTTAGAACCTTAGTGATCTGCTGAAGGCCTTCCAAGAAAGTGGATTCATAGGATCTGGAACATGTTTCCTTTCTGCAACACTACTACTCTTTCTGCCAATAATGGGTCTCAGCAATTTCTTCAGAACCTTGTTCAGCCCCGAAGCACGACAACGTTTTTGTTTGCCATGATTCAAGAGAGGTATTGTTGGGGTCACACTGACATGCCTCGGCTGTGACACACACCTTGGAAACCCTGGCTCTGAGAGGCTCCTTTGCAGCATGGCCTTGTTGAGGTGAGACTCAAATGACAGCCTCTCAAATTGGTCCAACAGAGTGCTTTGTTCATCCCCGAACCTCTTCCGGATCTTTGCCACTTCATCCATTGCTCGCTGCTTCTGAAACTGTTGCTGCAGAATCATTTTTCTTTAGGTGGTGGCTTTATACGTGAAAATGTGTGTGGCATTGGAGGCTTAAAGGGGTGAGTTTTTCTTTTATATTGTGTGTTTGTCTCAACTTTTTTATGGGGTGGGTGGTATTTGTAAAATGCTAGGACTCCTTGTCAAAGCAAGGTATCATATCCACCCCTGACCATGGCAAGAAATAGGATAATAGTTATTTGTCACTTGTGATTTTCCTTAGAATCGTCCACTTTTCTGTCATGTTAAAGACTCACATTATTTCTTAGTGGAACCAGCCAACTTCACCTGTGTGTTGACCAAACATTATATCCTGTGTTTTAATTCATATTTTTGGTAGATGTACACTCCTATTTCCTCGAGAGTATGTTTTCACCCTCATCTTGATCGTGCACCGAATTAACTTTAAATGTTTCATTTAGTCTTTTTAACATACAAGTGAGTTACAATAGATTGATCTTCCATATAAATATTAAAATAAAACATGTTTTGCAAAGATAAGAGCACAAGAAGTTGGTTCTTTAATGCTACATTTCTATAATATAATTTAGATTAAAATGTTTTTTAATCATTTATTCCAAAAATAAACATTTTGAAATTTATTTTAAATTTTAATTTTTAATATACTAATCTAAAATAATAATATATCTTAACTATTATATTAAAGTAAATAAATAAAAATATAAAATTATTTTTTAGGGACTAATCTTTTCTCAATATATATATATATATATATATATATATATATATATATATATATATATATATAATTTTATTTTTCATGACATAACATTAGTTATTTACATGTTTAAGGAAAATTACATTATGGTCCTAGTGGTTTTAAATTTTGGATAAAGAAAATATTAAAATTATTTATTTTACAGAAAAAATAGTTTTAAAATTTTAAAGATATGAAAAAACAAATTGGAGAGCAAAACAGAAATACACAACGCTTTATTCTTTCTTGCTTGAAAAAATTATGTTTGATCTTTTTAAAGGCTTACGTGGCAAAGAAGTTGCAGAAAAGAACACACACTATATATATATATATATATATATATATATATATATATATATATATATATATATATATATATATATATATATATATATATATATATATATATATATAATGATTAATTGATGATAATGAATATTTTGTCCCTTTTAAGAAAGTAGAAACATGGAAGCTTTGTCACATATGGCCTTAATTAGTGCCAACCAAACAGGTCATAAAGGGGAGTCAAACATCAATTCATCAAAGAAATGTTGTCTTCTATGTTCTTCTTCTTCTTTTTTTCAAAATCATATTAATTTTTGTAACCATTGGAAATCAAAATTAATTTTCCATTTATTTATTATTTTTTGTAAATGATCCTTAATTAGAAATCAAAGTTTCCTTTCCATTTAATTTTTATGAATACCTTGACACGTTTTCCTTTCAATTTTTTCTATGATTCCAATGAAATAAGTGTTGTTCTTCTAATTTCTAACACCATAAATCTTTCAATTTTCCTTGTAATCAAGATAAGTAGTAAAATTAGAATAAATATTGGTTTATTCTTGTATTATATCACTGAATAATATAATCTAATTAAATCATTAAATTGAGCTATAGTTTAAAAATTAAAATAAAAAATAATTATATATATTATTGTCACAATTAAAATCATGATAAATTAGAGATTTAGTATGGACAGTATTTCTTATAATTGAGATTCTCGTCTCTAATAAAATAGCAAAACACATCTATTACCATCATTAAATTAAATTAAAGGTAAGTGAATAATTTAGATAAATAATCTTAATTAATAAATATTGAGTTGTGTTTAAAGAATATTACTTTATACAATTAAACACGGCCCTATGAATGCACATTCTTATTGACTAATGTCAAGCCCAATTCAAACGTACTTGGGCTGGGCCAGTCCAATTCTTACTATGAAACAAACCAATAGTAGCCTTTTAATATTGAAATAAGTTCAAAATAATATTAGTTATTATTTTTTTTATTGAATTTTAAATTAATTGCGTATATATTTATCAAGGAATAGAAATAAAATAAAAAATAGAATAGAAAACTTGATGACTGCTACTCTTTCCTTGTCTTGCATATGATAACTAATTCATATTTATTACAAAAATGGTTAATTTAATTAGTACCATTAACTTTTTAATTGTAACTTTTTTAAAACCATCCTTAAATGAAATTTTATGATATAATGTAATATTAGTGAAACTTTAAGTTTCAAACTAAATGTTTCAATTATTTGATCTTCAGAAGTGAGAAACATAAAGACCATTGATGACATTTATTATTTATGAGTTAGATGATTTTTAATTAAAAAATAAATTAATTCAAGAAAAAAATTATAAAAGAATATTATAAAAATTACAATAGTTTTTTATAATAATGTAATATAATTAAAGAGTAGAAATAATATTTCCTAAGGTCAATGGAAATTTTCGTTGAAAAAACAATTAAAAAGAAATAGACTTCGTAAATAGAATGTATTAATGTACTATGTTCTCTAAAATCTAATATTGTTTTATATCATGAGTATTTGAAAGCATAACAAATATAATTAAAATAATAAATATGTATAAAATGAGAGATATCAAAGGAATCAAAATTTAAAAAAAAATTAATGCCTTGCTAATATTGAGGATAGTTTTCTAAAAATTATGATTTCTTTAATATTGAATATAAAAAAAATTAATTACTCATTTAATTTTTATAGATCTACAAATTTTTATATAGCCTCAATACTTTAAAATCATCCATTAATTAAAATTATCTCTAAAAAAAGTCATTATCAAGAATTGCTTAGAAATAAAAATAAATATTTTATTATGAGTCACAAATGTGAGTTGCTTAAAAGTTACTTAGAATTAAACAAAGTTATTTATATAAGTAAATTTGATCAAATTTTAAACAATTTATTTGTGAATCAATAATAAAATATTCAATTTTATTCTTAACTAATTCTTGTTAAAAATTTATTTATTTTTTAAGAAAGTTAATAAATAGCTTTTATTTGCAATAATTTTATTTAAAAATAAACATTTTTGTAAACTATCTCCATGAAACTTGATTTCAAGAACAAAGGAGAACATTGAAAATAAAACTCAAATGAAATTAAGAGTTTTTTAGAAATATGTTATTATATAAGTAAAATTAGTTTATATTTGTGTCTAATACTTGAGAAATATTTTTAGCTTATGATTGTGATTAAGACTAAGTCATTTAAGATAAAAATTGATTACTACTAACTAAACTAACTACGATAGTGAATTGGATGTTATGAAAAAGAACGAGAGAGTAATATGTTACATAATATTAATGTTATATAAAGTAATAATATTAACAAATATAAAATAAATAAGTAAATAGTAATAATATATAATACCTCTCTGAACATGCATCCAATTAATTTATAGGTCATATAGTGAGGGACCCTTTAATCGCACTTGAGATTTGAAAGCATGAGATACGGGGACATGAATGATTCATGTTAGTGTTTGTTATGCTTCTTTATTTTCTTTTTCTTTTAGGCACAAACAATTTTATTCCCCTTTTGTATTGTTGAAGCTATGAGGACATTCATAAGTACCTCTCATGTGCTCAACTATCTTTCTCATTCTAAATAACTATCATTTGCTTTTTGAAACTCCCTACGTACGACATACACCCCTAAACAGTCTCGAGACCCCAATTTTATTCGGTCTCACCATAAAAATCCTCCATTTTGAGAATGGATAAGGTTTCATTAGATCCTTAATAACATTTTATAGGTTTCATTTAGGATAAGGAGAGTTTTCTGAGAAAATAAAAATCAGAAATTTTGTTAGAAGGTCTTCGATGGCCATCCATGATGACCAGACAGCCGTCCATGATGACCGGACGATTGTCCACACTTATTTTAAGTCTTGAACAACCGTTCATGATGACCAGACAGTCGTCCATGTCCCTGAACGGTCATCCATGATGACCAGGTGACCGTCTACACTTATTTTAAGTCTTGGACGACCATTCATGATGACCAGACAGTCGTTTAGACCTCCTGACACGTTTCCTTATAAATAAGGTCTCATTTCCTCATTTCACATACTCACACACTCTCCTCTCATCCTAGAAAGCATTCTAAGACTTCTAGACAAGACAACTCTAAGTATTATTCCAGAGTGAGAGTTGAGTTCTCTTTTTACTTTTGGTCGATAGAGGAGCGTCTTTGTAGAGGGAGGAGACTGCCAAAAAACTCTTCAAGTTTGAAAAATTTATAAAAAACTTGTTTCGGATGTTCTTTTCTCTATTATCTCTTTTATCGTTTTTCTTTGTGTGCATTAGATATTAGAGTCATGTAGATAGTTATTTAAATATTACAATAAATAAATAGTGTAAAGACATAATTTCTGTATCTTTATTTTAGAATTAGTTCATCATAGGAAATCTGGAAGGGGCATTGTGGGGTACTAACACCTTTCCCACACATAACTAACTCTCTTACTCAAGTGTGGTTGTAATGACCAAAGCTGATTTTTTTAAAACCAACGTTTTTTTTATTTTTCTTTTCGAATGTTTATAGTAAAAACATTTGTGACAACTTCAGAACTCTTTACCAAAACCTCGCTCTTAAAGGATAGTTTGGTTATCCAACACCCTAAAAGCGATAACCATATTTTTAAGAAATACGTAAGTCAATTAATCATCACATCACAACTGACCGCCTCATTTCGATTTTCCCTCCCCATTTTTTTCTGGGAGGGACAGCGACGACACAGTAAAATATTTAAGATATATTTAGAGAAATTTAAAATAAACAAAGTTTTTTTTGTCCTAAAAATGATTTAAACAGTATCTTATTTTTTAATTGTGTGGAATGAAGAAGCATGCATGCAAGAAGTGGGTGTGATAAATAGTTTATTCTGGTACAGTTGGTCCTTGTTAAGGGTATGGGTTGTGTATCATTGTGTCTCCACTAACTAAAAAGGTGAAAGGTCTGGGGCAGGATGAACTCACATTTTATTGCAATAATTATTTCTTTCTTCTACCAACTACATTACTCATTACGTGTTCTTTCCTGGGAACTAATTCACATACCACAAACACTATTTCATTCAACAATTTCCGACAAGTCTCGTATCACCTATTTTAATTGTTAAAGTTTATATATTTATTCTTTCGGCCCACATAAGAGCCGAGTTGAACCCTTTTTATGAATAAAACTATAATAATAAATGAGAATTTCAACACATAATACCTTTAACATACAAATTAATCATATAAAAATGAGAATTCGACTCAAAGTTATTATAATAAGCATAATTCTTAAAATTGGACCGCTCAACATATGTTTTTAGAGTTCAAAAATTCAACCAGAGTTTAACTCGTAATTAAATTAGAATAAAAAATTTAATAAAATAATATATTTTAATAATATAATAATATATTAAACTTATCACAATATAATAATACAATATATATATTATTTGAAAAAATATTATATAATAATAAAAATAATTTGAAAAATACATAAAAAAAATATGAATAAACATATCATCAAATACTTGAAATACAAAATAACCAAAGAAAAAAATTATCGCTCACCTAACTTGAAAATAATTAGAAAAAAAAAATTATAACTAACTTGATAATAATTACACAAAAAATTACATCTAACTTAAAACAATTAAGGGAAAATTTGCATCATACCTTCTATTGCATCTAATTTCAAATTTTATATGTTTTATTTTATTTTAAGGTATGGTTATGGAATCAAAGGATAACTTACTACCCACTCATCAAATTAATTTTCGAAATTAAGAGATTATGATTCTTATGTGTTATTGTATTTCCATAAATGATTATAGTAATAATAATAGTAGATAATGATGTCAGCAAGGACGACATCATAAGAGACATCAAAGGTAGTGCGTGAGAGTGACGATAACAATTATAAGAACAAAAACTATAGTAAAAGAAGAGTACTACTACCAATACACAAAACAATTTTTTCTCTTCATGTTTGTCTGTGTCTATATTAAACTAAAGAAAGAAAAAATATAGAACAAAATAACATCATTTAGCTCTTTTTTTTTAAGAAAAAAAAACGAATGATCCTTTTACTCGTCCGATTTCACCAATTTTTATATGTTTTTTTCAATTTTTGACTTGTTGATTATTTGTTCGATTTCTAAGGAACTCCACATCGATTATTACACTAATTCCTGATTAAACCGGTTTAATAGGTCAATCAAGTCCGATTTTGATAAACATGATAATAGACATTTTCTACCTAATGTGTATCTTTATTTTAATTATCTTTGAAAAAAATTAAGAAAAATCTCAAATCACTTGACCCAATATTCAAATATGGCTTATATATATAATGATAATTAATTTAAAATAATTATTAACTTTAAATATTTAATTATGATTCCTTAATATAAAATATATTTAGATGTAACATCAATTAACGCTATAACTAACTTATTAATCTTTATTTTACAAATCAATATTACATAATGGATTTAGATAATATAAATAATTATTGACGTGAATTAAAAAAGTGTTCTTTTTTATGGTGTTTGTGTATATGGTGATCTCAATTGGAAGATGGTAGCGTAAACGTAAATGAACGAAGAAGATATAAAATGTGATTATGAGGGAGTGTGGACAGCAATAATGATAGGAGGGTGTTGGAAGAGGGGGTATGATTACAAAGCAGTGTCCTAATGTTGGCATTTCAAAAAGTTAGTCAGTTGGTGCTGCTTTTAAACACTTTCATCATCTCCAACAAGCTTACAGGATTCTCTTCAAATTTTTCTTATATTTCTCTTTTTCAAATCTTGTTTTTACCAAAATAATGATATACACAAACTAACTCATTTTACTCAGACTAATATATACATTAAATCAAAGGTGGTAACTTTTTTACGAATATTCCTAATATTTTTAGTTAAAATATATGTGCATCAAAGTTATTTCTTTTCACTTTTCAATATTTTTCTTTTCTTTTCTTTCATATCATAATAAAAATAATTATTGGTATTTAAAAAATAATATAACTTAAGAAGTAAAGCATTATTTATCATTGAATTACCTTGCAAAGCCGACATGGCAGTGAGGCAATTAAGTAAATTCTTAGTATTATGTTTTGTGGGGAGGAACTTTTAACAATCAGGAATCAAAATTTAGTCGTATTCTAGCTTTAAGTGTTAATAAAGCAAAAGAGTGCTTTTTCTCTTCACTTTTTCTTTTTCTTTCACATTCCCTCTCTTCCCCATTATTTCTTGGATTCCTGCCATATATTTTTATCATCTTACTCTTCCTTGTAAGCTGCTTTCTCTTTCTTCCCCATTCATTATTGATAATCTCATTCGTGACAAATAATAATTCCCTGAGTTTTCATAAATAATAACAATACCAACATGAACTGGCCTCTGGTATCGTTTACAAATACACTCTAGTTGTTGCATGCATGTTGTTTAGAAGAAGGGTGCATTAATCAGATATGTGGGTTTCGTACCAGCATGAAGCGCAGTTTGTCCCTGAAGAATAAAGCAAAAATAGAAATGCAACGAATATTCATGTTTAGAAAATGAAGATCATGCTTTGCAGGGAAAGAGAACAATTGAAACACTGTTGTATTAGCAGCCAAACTGGTGAAGAAAAATCCAGTAGTACAACTTGAATTGACCAAAAGTAAAACAAAAGGTAAAAATAGCGAAACTAACAACAACTGAAGCAACAAACAAAAGTTGGGAAAGAAATTGAGTGAATATTCTTTGCATGATTTATATCGTATGGCATTAAAGCAAGCAAACTGGATTGTTCTTCACCAGGTATGCATGTGTTATGTCTCAATGACTGTAACATAAATTCATTGTATTTCCTCATGTCCTTCTGAAGGACATTGGATCAACTCCAGAATGTTGATTACCTCAGCCATATCTGGACGGTTTGAGGGCACTTGTGATGCACAAACCAACCCCAGTTTTATCACAGGAACTGCTTCCTCTACAGCAAAATTACCCTTAAGCTTTTCATCAACACATTGCTCCACTTTGCCATCATCCAATGCACTCCTCACCTTGTCACAAAGAACAACCACATCATCCTCCATGTATTCCACTGGTCTTTTTCCTGTCACCACCTCTAAAATCAAAATTCCAAAGCTATATATGTCACACTTATCAGTTATCTTGACTGTGCGGCAAGCAAACTCAGGAGCCATGTATCCAAGTGCGCTTTGAAGTTTGCTGCTCAACACACAATGGTCTAGCATTGGCAGTAGCCTCACCAAGCCAAAATCTCCAATCTTTGGCTCATCAGAACAATCTATGAAGACATTGGTTGACTTCAAATTGTAATGAATTAACTCCATTTGATGCAAATAGGCCAACCCTTTTGCAATTCCAAGAATGATCTTGAACCTTTTTCTCCAAGAAAGTATATTTGTGCTACTATCATCATCATGTAGAAGCTTTTGCAAACTCCCTCTGGCTAGGTACTCATAAATTAGGAGCTGCAAGGATGGAGTCCAATAGTAACCTTCAAGTGCCACAAGATTTTGATGCTTGATCTTCCCAAGCATTTTAACCTCCCTCTCAAAGTCTTCTTGAGACTTGGTTAAGGTGGACACTGTAAGCTTCTTGATTGCAACATAATGACCATCTCTAAGACAAGTGCAATAAACAACTCCAAATCCACCGCGACCAATTTCACTCTCTTTGTTAAGAAGATTATGAGTACCATCGGCAAATTCAGCATCACCAGAAAACATCACAAGCTTGCCATAGTTCGGATCATTCCCGGGTGAACCGCTATAGTCCTCACCCCCAGAGAATATAAATGGATTAGCAGAAAGAGATATTGAAGACCTCGCATGAATATTTAGGACAGTGACAACCGCCACACCAATGACAATAAAAATAGCAGCTCCAATAGCAATAAGGACAGAGATACTGAGCATAATCTTATGGTGGTGGTTTTGCAAGGAAGAGCCAGCATTGGAGTAAGAAGAATTGGGGTTTAGGACAATAGGCTTTGGATGAACAGAAGGGCACGATTGATTAACAACAGAACCACATAACAATGGATTACCAGAGACAGATGAAGGAGAGATGGTATTGAAGAAGCCACCCACCGGTAGCTCACCTTGAAGGTGGTTATATGAAACATTAAACGAGAAAAGGTTGGAAATATTTGTCAGCTCCTTTGGTAAGCTTCCAGAGAGTTCATTCCATGAGAAATCTACATTCTGAAGCTTGGTTAGGTTTGCTATGGCTGAAGGGATTGAGCCAATAAGCTTGTTGTGAGATAGATTCCTGTACCATTCCAATGAAATGCAGGAAGAGAAAATGATCAGAAGAAATTGTAGACTGATAAACACAATATTTCAAATTTTCTAGACTAGAAGAGATCCAAGGAAAGGGTTGTGAAACAAGTAAACTAAATTGTACTGTGAACAATAAAGCATGAAAAATGGAAGCTATGATAGAGTGCTTACAGAAATGTTAGTTCTGAACACTTCTCAATTTGGGCCGGAATTCTCCCACCTAAGAAGTTCTTTTGTAGCCTCATTTCACTGAGTGAAATTGCCCCTTCTATTTCTGAAGGAATGCTTCCATTAAGCTTGTTCTCACTCAAGTCAAGAATGTACAAAGACTTAAGTTCTCCAATACTCAAAGGAATAGAACCTGAGATATTGTTGGTGGATAAATTCAAGACTTGCAAGCTATCAAGACCTCCAATTCCAGATGGAATTTGGCCAAAGAATGCATTTGATGACAAATCCAAAACCTGAAGGCCATGAAAAGATACAGGAATGGAAGTAAGTGAGGGATAATTTCTCTCACTAAAGGTATTCCCAGAAAGAGATATACTTTGTAAACCCATCCTAAATATCCATGGAGGAAGATGGCCTGCCAAGTGATTGTGGCTGATGTCAAGAGTCAAAAGCTTAATGCAGTTTACCATCAACTCTGGCAGGTTTCCTGTGATCTGATTCCTTGAAAGATTCAACCTACTCAACAAGTCAAGATTTCCTATTGACTTTGGAATCCAACCAGAAAATCTATTTGCAGAAAGATCCAATACATCTATACTTCTCATTTCTCCAATCCAATGTGGAATTCCACCTGTGAATGAATTCCCTTGCAAGCTGAGGAATGTGCACGAGGTGAGTTTTTGCATTGACTCCGGAAGTCTCCCAGAGAGAGAATTACCACTGAAATCAACCAACTTCAGAAGCAAGCAGTCACCAATATGCTCAGGAATCCTACCAGTGAAGAGGTTCCTCCCCAGCCTCAACTCCCTCAAATCAATCAGATTCTGAATTCCTTCTGGAATCTCTCCTTCAAGCAAGTTGTTCGAAAGATCAATTGACTGTAGTCCCCTTAAAAACCACATTCCAGATGGCAGTTCTCCATGAAGCTGATTAGAGGAAAAGTTCAAAACTGCCAAAGAGTAGCAGGAGCTCAAAGAATCAGGAATCTTACCTGTGAGGTTGTTGTTGGCAAATGATACCACTCTCAAAGACCAACATTGCTGGAAAATCTCATCTGGAATTACCCCAGAAAGGTTGTTCTCACTCAAATCAACAACTTGTAAATCACCAATGCTAAGAAGGTCAGGAGCTATGGTCCCTCTGAATTTGTTCCTAGAAAGGGACAGAATCTGAAGGAACTGCAGTCTCAAAAGGCCTCTATCAATGTGACCAGAAAGAGAGAATCCATCAAGAACAAGAGAAGATACCCTATTGTTTGCAGGGTCACATTTGACACCAACCCAGTTGCAGGGACTATAATCATCTTCATTCCACGTAGAGAGTTTGCCTTTTGGGTCTTCTAGACCAGCCTTGAACATAATCAACCCCAACACATCATCGTTGAAAGAAGGATTTATTGAGATCACTGGGAGTGGATAATAAAAAACAAGACAGAGAGATAGGAATAAGATGAATTGCACTTGCTTCATCAGAGTAATATCTGTATTGTAGCAATACATTCAGCGGAGCACTTCATGAATTTTGCAGAAAGCAACTATTTCCTTACAGAAACATACTGCCATTCCATTTTGCTTATATACGGTAGATAAAGGTTGGCGGGTCCCAACAAAGCATAGTGTATAAACCAAAGGAAAACAAACAACCACCTTGTCACGCACAAGTATAACAAAGTTTCAAATGTAAGAAAAATAATGACAGAGAGGCACAAAGGTGCTAGTATCATTATACTACTGCAACAGTAGCAGTAGAAAGGACACAAAAAAGTGGGAGGAGTAACAATCAAATCCTCGGTGGATATAAACAAAAAGAGCAATAAAAACAAACAAAGGAATAGACTATACTAGACAGAGGACAGTAACCATGTGAGGGTGAAAAAAAGAGAACAAAGTAAAGTAACTTCAGCAATCTCACTTTCTGCTTTTCAAACTTCAGAATTTCCAAGGAGGAATGGTGATCATTGCACTCACAGAAGTTTTGAATAGTTTTTCAAGTGGGGTGACAAAACAGTGATTTTAGAAAGAAAACAAAGAGTTAGTGGTTGTTGAGAAAAGTGAAATTACACAAGCAAAACATAAACAAGAGATCGCACCACATACTGCGTGACATGGCGAAGGAAAACTCTAGAAGCCTCCTTGAGAGTGTAATATACATGTGACATGAATAAAACAGTTGTTAAAACTTGAGGTGTGGTTGAGCCCTGTGAGCTGAAGATAGAAGCAAGAGAAGAGTTTGCTTTATGGAAGCTGCTAAAAGAGCATGGACAGGGAACAGAGCTTAGAATAAGAAACTGAAAGAAGACAGAGAGGTTGAAAGAGAGAGTGAGTGAAAAAAATCATGGCTCCAATCCAAGTCGTGCTGTTCTACCACTTGTTGCTCATCTTCTTCTGGTTCCGAAAAAGAGAGTAAAGTTTAAAATTTAAAGAGAAAGAGTGAAAGGGAGAGAGTGCGACAGGAGAGAAGCTTTTTTCTATTGTGTGCTTTGGCATGGCCTATGGGGGAAGTTGCTATAGTGTGCATGGCGTGGCATATGGTTCTGTGGGTCAAACCAGAATCATGGGTGTGAACAAGATTGTTGTGCTTTAAGACAACTTTTTCATCTGACGTGGTTCGGACGTATGATCATGATCCTTATTCATGGTCATGCTATTTTTCAAGTAGGAGGAAGAGAAAATTATATTAAAAAAATTAAGAACATCGTTGCAAGTTGTTAATTCTGTTTGGAGTCCTCCTATGTTACTCAAGTTAAAGAATTTTAGCAACTTTTCTCTCCAATGTACACACTTTTGTAAAAACTACGATGAGTCTAACAATACAAACCTTTCAACCATTTTTGCAATGTTAAGAGTGAGTTTTAATGAATAGTTCTTCAGGTGCATTAAAATTTTTGAGTTTAAGCTACTTGATGATAGCAACAAGTACCGAAATGTAGAGTATGGATCCAAGGGAACTGTACCTATCAAAGATGTGTAAAGTTGCAGCATAATGCTGCGTACTGGATATGCTCACAAGAAGGAAACCAACAAATAAAAGTGGTTCAATGGATTGGAATCAATGTGTCATGCAATAACGGAAGCTGCAGATTCCATATTTTTGAAAGGATGCAATCCATTGAAGGTAAGAAAAAAGTGCGCAACATGTTGAGATTGACCTCAAATTGGAATAATAGATGTGTTTTCGTAGCTGAACAAAATTGAAGTCGTGTTCATGCAAATGAGAAATCCACATAAGTAGAAAATGACTTGGCTGATGGCAGTACCACCTTAGGATCTGAATTAAGGAATAAATGATAAAAAACTTTCACTCAAAGAAAATGTAGAGAATGCATTCAAATAATGCAAAAGCGATAACGTAAATGTTAACCAATGTTTTTTAAGTGCTCTAATCAGCATTTGCTAACTTGAAATTATATATCTGTAAAATATGATTGAAATATATAGAATTTCTGCAAGGATACGGTGAACTGCAAGAGTTTTCAAGTAGCAGGAATCTTCGCCTCACATGATACTCAAAATTATATATTTTTGAATAATTAATAATATATAATTATCAATTATCATTATTATCATTATTATTATTATAACACTATATATATATATATATATATATATATATATATATATATATATATAATTAATACAAGGACAGAATCAACTTTTATATAATAAATTAAAAAAATAAGTATGAAATTGAAAAACAAAAAAAAAACTTAAAAAATTAAGAATGAATTAAGATTTGTTTGTTTACTATTTTTAAAATTAATATTTATTTTTAGTTTTAAAAAATTGAAAGATTTGTTTATAACGGATTTTTTAAAAACATGACATTGATTTTATTTAGGAAAGTTTTCAAATTAGAATTATCAAGTATTTTTTTAAAAATAAATTAAACTTTAAACTAAATTAAAAAAATTATCTTTAAGACTATTTTTGAAAATTTAAACCCTGAATCAAAGAAACCTTGCTTCTTCTTTTTTTTCAAACATAAAATCAACTTATTTCTAGTAGAAAATAAAGTTAGCGTTGTTTTGTAAAGTTAAACAAATATTCTCAAACAAACTAAATAATTTTCAAACACATTTTTTTTCAACAAAAGCAACTGAAATCTAAAATTTCAAGTTACATGCTCTAAATTGGAAATAGCAAGGCAAGTTGCCTTTAGGGCATATGTAATGGAAGGACCTCCATCTTATAAATGTGAAATAAAAATAAAGATCTTACAAACTTGTATTACCATTAAATAACTCAGATTTAATCTTATTTCACACATAAAATATTTAAACAACTCTAAACAATTATTTATTTTATTCATTTTATTCTAATAGTCTAAAGTTTTTCACCTCCATATCCAACATTTTTCTTTTTCCAGGCCGAAACCATTTCTTTCAAGCAAAATAAATGATAAACAACCCAATTTTACCACACAATTTTAATTAATTTTATTATAATTCAATACTTTATAAATATAATATTAATAAATATGATTTTCTAATGGATGAATGTTTGGATGTCATTCCTCTCCTAATTTTCCCTTCTTTCCTGTTTCTCTCTTCTTTGCAACGTCCAAAGCATCTCATTGCAGTAAATGTTGGTAGTTTTACACCTTTTTTATGGTCCCATTACAGAACAACTCTAAAATTCTGATATGCGAACGGTGTGATGCAATAAAATAATATATGTTTTAGTTAAAAACAGTTGCTTCAACAAACCAATGAAAAGGTTAGTGGAAGCAATTGAAGCATTTTCTAACTCACGGTTGGCGATGCTCATGCTAAAGTCATTATTACACGAGGAACACCTTCAGCTTCATAAATTAGAAGAAAAAAGTAAAGGTCTGTAAAAACTATAAATTTTGCTATGCATAGATTCTATAAAGTTAACATGGATAGGAATCAGTCTACATCATAAATTCTAACATTTCAGTTTTCACCTCAGTTAAGCGACTATAGGAACTTAAACACGTGTCACCAAGAGCAAAAACAAAAAATGTAACCAAATGTTTCTTCTTACGACCAAAGTATTTCAACTGTTTTTACCTTAAAAAATAGCAAAGGATTGTACCAAAACACAAAAGCAAGGAAAAAGTGGTTCCAGCTGTAGAAATCTATGTTTCATAAGAGTATTAAAAATCCAAAAATGGACCTAATATCTTTTGATCTATTCTCTAAGCCTCCCTACGAACAAAGTACAGCTTGCCCATCACATGAAGGGTGGCAACAAATGCAATAAAGCCAATGCTCATTACAAGAACCACATTTGGGGAGATCTTAAGTCCCGGGGCATCATCAGTGTAAAATTGGAGCATAGTTCCAGCTGCTCCTCCGGCGGCCCCACCACCGGTTGTTCTCCTTCTCCTCATACTAGCAGTAGCAGCTGCACTTCCTCTTGGGGGAGCTGCTCCACCTGAAGCCATTTTCTGAGACACACGTTTCATATATACATTACATTAGGAATCTTAAATCAAAAACAAAATACCAAACCTCAAAAAATAAACTAAAACTAAAAATCTTCTCATTAGCTCAGTCAGCCGCCCCTCCAGAACAATTAGAAACTCAAGTTTGTTAGATATCTTGAGAGAAAATCTCACGTACTCGCAACTCTCAAATGAATGAAAAAGCAATGCATAACATGCACTCGTAAGCAACAAAAATCAATAATCTCTTCTTCAAAGTCATTAATTCAAAAAAGGGCAAAACTTAGATGCAAAGTCGTAAGTGATTTTGGCCCTGTTTTCCAATCATAATTGGAGCTTCACCAAAGTAATTCACAAAGTAAAAGTTAGCATGAAAGGTTACCATAGACTACTGAGATAAAACACTAATTGTGATCGAGCAACACTAAAAGAATTTATGAAAAATGCATCTAAAACTGCATCTATGTTTTCCCTTTAAGAAATTCCGATCCATTATGCACCATCAATACTTCTGCTATGAATGCATAAACAGTAAATATGCACATCCAATCAAAAGCTACGGACCTTGAACCTGATCACTCAACAGTACTAACAAAATTAAAATTCCAGATCTGCAAACCCTAGTCTTCTCTACAACATAAACCTTCCCAGATCCTAAAATAAAAAACGATCAAATTTCCCTGATTGATGTACCCCTCCATTAAACAATCACAAAACCTAAAACACAAACTTTCAATTACAGAGATTGAGAAAACCTCGCACAGCAAAAACCAAAACGAAATTGGATCCACAACATCATAGTTAACATTAAATAAAATAACAGCAAGCGGATCATTCACGAAACGACTACTAGTACTAAAACCACGCAATTTAACAGAAGGAACAATTAAAAACATGTAGAAATAAACTACATTCACATTATAAAACTTAAACAACATACACATAAGTAATCGAAGCAGAACAGATCGTGGAGACAAAATCTCAATTTAAAAACCCTAAAATATAATGGAAAAGCACAGATCTGTTATCAGCAGTCATAATACATTGGAAGAAAGGAACCTCGATATGATATCCCGGTGAGTGATGTTGGTGAGGATTGGAGAGAAGAACTCGCCGGAGATATAGAACTACGTTTCAAACGGGTACGACTCGTTTCTCGTGACTGTTGTTTTGTTTTACAGCAATATATCGAAGCAGATTTTGACTTCGCTTAGTCCACGTCAAAACAACCAATAACATTATGCCATGTCATCATATCGTGCTGATCAATGATACCTTCCACTACGGAAAATTGAATTTGGGCCAAGTAATTGAGCCCGGTAGACTTTGGGCCCATGAATTCTGGTTAAACAATAAGGACTTATTGGGTTCTTTGAGTATTCCGTTGCTCCATTTATGTTAATGCTTGGAATCAGGAAAAAAACATTGTAAAGATATAATTATAATTAAAAAACAAAAAATATATAATAACAATATAATATAAAAAATAAAATGAAAAAAGAAACTATGTATTTGAAAAAAACCATTACAGAACTCAATCTCATTCATTAACCGAACAAGTAGCACATTCAACCTTCTTTTTGACATACTTTGATATTGATGTTTCGGAAACTATTTTTAAGAAAGAAAAAAAACTCTTTACAATGTAAAAAACTTATTTTTATTACATTTCAAAAAATATATTCTGAAACATTTTTTTACTATATTTTATAATGATTTTTTTGTTTTTTAATTATTTCAACAATTACTTTCTAAATATAAAAAAGTAAAAAGAATGCTCTGAAAAGTTGTTTTCCAATTTGTTTTCATGTTCTTGAAAGTATTTATCAAACTATTGAAAAATAATAAAAAAAAAGTATTTCACAACGAAAAAATAATTTTTTAAAAAGTATTTTAAAAATATTAAAAACAAAATAACATTTCATAATATATGAAATAATAATTGTATTCCACTTTATAATGCTAATTTTAGAATTGAAAAAAAAGGAAAGAAGATTTTTTTATATAGAAGGAAATAAAGAATTTAATGAACCTAACATTTGTTATTCTTCATTTCATTTTTAATTCTAATCCCTATTATTAAAAAAATTAAAAATATGACAAGGAGGTAGAATAAAAGTAACGGGTTTATCTATATAAAATATAGTGTATAAAAAAAGTATTTTTATAATTATATTTTAAAATAAACGAAAAAGTAGTTAAAAAACGGAAAGGAAAAGAAGCCAAAATTTATTGAGTTAGAGATTTATTTCTTAGATACTTGTAATATACACTTTATTTCTTATCTAATTATTTTTATTAAATTATTTTCGCATGAATCAAACAAAATAATTTGCTTATTTTTCTTTTATATTACATGACCCATTACGTATTTAATTGTACTACAAAAGTAGAAATACATGTTTTCATCATCATGTCATGAATGCAATGAAACGACAAAACGAAGAAGGAGACAAATATATGAAAACTTCACAACTACTTGACTTCATCCTTTAATACAAACAAGATTTTCAGCCATGCTAAAATATTTGGGATTTTTTAATATTCTTTCAATTCGGCACTAAATTAATAAAGTCTCATTTTCAATCCAATAAGAGAATTGATTTCTTTTTTTTCTATTTAAAATTATTGTAATTCGGGTAAGATAAAGAAAAATATTAAAAAATATATTATATTGTTTACAACATAAAATAAAAATTAAAAGAATTTTAATCTTTACGGATATTTTGAAGTAATAAATAGTTGTCGAACCAATTATGGGATTAGATGATTGAATTGGCTATCTAGTTTGATTTTCACAAATAAATATATATTTGAATCAATGTACTTTATAAGCATAATTATAAATAATTTTTTTATTCTAAATATTTATATTTTTTATTATAGTTTTCCTTATCCACTAACCCAAAGAATTGGTCCAAAAATTACATAAGAATGAAAATCAACCACAAAATTTTCTCTCCCTTTAAATATTTAATATTGAATTAATGAATCCATGATATAATGAGGCCGTGACTCTGGTCTCTATAAGAAGTTTTATATTAAGAAAGGAGCTTGCGATTATTCTTACACACTCGAAAGTCAGGAACCATAATCAGTCTCTGAAATGAGCCAACGTGTCCCAAGCTGCGATGTGGACGACGACACCATTCCCACACCCACGAAGCTCCCTCTTCTTTCCACCTCCAATTTCATGCTCCATCAAGTCCCAATGTAACCAATCTCTGCTCCAATTTCATTCCTTTTACAGCACACAACTGATTGTGGAAGATGAATTCTTTGAGTTTTACTCTTGCAGGTTGAGCTACGAAGTCGCATGCAAAAAGGGACAACCTTCGCTGCACCAACACACCCCTGGGAACCTACCAACATGTGACATACCTCCTTCAAGTGGAACCTTGGAGTCCATAGTCAACCATGGTATCGCCAAAAACTCCCACAACCTAGTTACCAAGGACGCCTTAGTGCCTTGTTTTCCCAAACAGGGCAAAAGTTTTGGCGCGTCCATGAAGCGTTACTCCTCTCCGGTGCCGTCTCGCGCTCGGGTGGTGACGCGTGGCCCCCCAACGCATGAGATGAGCGGCGGCAAGGAACGGAGTGTCAGTAGTAGTGACACTTGTCGAAGGGAGTTAAGCGTGACTTTCAATTCAGTCACCATGGGTTCGCTGGAAAACACCACTAGCTCCGGTAAGCAGTGTACCGACACCACCGCCTACGACGACCATGATTCCGTTAGCCACCGTCGGTCGCTGGTATGACTAGTATATTTATCTTTCTATTTCAAACATAAATATAAATTAGTTCATAATTTGTGAGTTTAACTTATTAAGCCAAATAATTTATTGTGAATATAAAAAAAAAAAAAAAATATATATATATATATATATATATATATATATATATAAACAGTTATTTTAATGTTTGGTATTGTAAAAAATTGAATTAAAATGATCCACATTTCACAATTTTATATATTAAAAAATGTTTATATAATTTTAAAGGAATAATTACTCTCACCTGAATAATATTTTCAGCTACAATGGTTCTTTCGTTTATATAAACACCACTAGTTTCTGTATTATTATTTTTTTGTTAACTTCAAATTTCTTAGTTTTTGTCTTCTTAGTTTACATTGTAAAAGTGATGATATATTGAGGTCCATTACCAAAAATATATCTATCAGATATATTTATTAATATTATATTAATAAGTGATTTAATCAAAATAAAAGTAATTAAAAATTATGAGTTTATTAATAAATGAAATTATTGGTTGGTTGTTTGGATAAAAGGTTGTCTATCAAAATTGTTCCATTATTTTAACTTGATGTCATCATTTCAATAATTGATATAGTCACGTAGGCGTTTTTTTAAAGAAAAATAAAAATGAAAATGTCTGAATATTATTAGGATTAGTAAATAATTTTTAGTTTTTATTTCAAAACGGTACTAAACCTTATTAAATTAATGTGTTTAGATGTCATTTTAAAAAAAATACCAGCTTTTAAAGATTTCTAACATAATGCAAGGGTTTTATTACTGGTTAATTTTTATGCTAATAATTTGTTAACTTTTTTATTTTTTTTATTATGATGTGACCGAAAACCTTAGAGTGAGTCAAGGGATGAGGATTGCAAGACAACAGCAGTTGATAGATCTTGTGAATCCAACAAAAGAATTAAAGCTTCATCTGTACACAACCAATCTGAAAGGGTTGGTGGCTTCTCTTCTGTGCATTATTTCTGCACATTTTATCAGGAATTTCTTAATCACTGATTCGATTTGTCTTTGCTTTTCAGAGAAGGAGAGATAAGATCAACCAAAGAATGAAGGAATTGCAAAAACTGGTCCCAAATTCCAACAAGGTAAAGGAGAAGAATACTCTGAGCCATTGTTTTCGTATAAAAAATATTCCCACACTTTTTTTTTCTTCTTCCAAATTCTAGTGAGTTATCAGCAACAGTCACCAAACATGATTTCGCTGCAACATCTGCTTAATTTCCTCACTAATCAGCACCCAGTGGTCCCTTGAGGACACATTACCGTGAACCCCATATCACACCATATCTTATATTGTTTCTTTTCTGTCATACATTTTCATGGAGATATTTATCATCAAATTAATAATAAAAATAAGATTTTAACTTACAGTTCTCAAAAGAAAAATCTTTTCAGAAATCAAGGAATCATTTCTTTCTTTCTTTCTTTCTTTCAACAACTTCTAAAAGGAATATGTGCCTAAGGGAAAAATATCCGTTTCACAATTTTAAATTTTTTAACCTTTTATCTGATTCGAACAAGGTCAATGGCTCATATAAGCAGTGAACATTATTACTATTCCTCTTCAGAGAAAAAGGTTTTACTAGTAATATAATCCCCATAATATTTTACCATAATGACAATGAGAGTTTGTTGGAGTTGTTTATTTAGCAGACAGATAAAGCTTCGATGCTGGACGAGGTTATCCAATATATGAAGCAATTGCAAGCAAATTTGCAGATGATGAATTGGATGAAAATGATGATGGTACCAATCACCATGCAACATCAACAACTTAAAATGTGTATGATGATGGCTCAGATGGGCATTGGAATGGGAATGAGTAAGGATATGGTTATGAATATGAACAACATGAACATTGCCCCCATGCTCCACCTTCCTCCCTTCGTGCCTATGCCTTCATGTGGTGATCCATTACAAGGAGAACCAGAGAAGGTAATTACCCTTTTACACACTATTTCATTTTTCCTTTTTAGCATTAAAAGGATTATTATTATTAGGACTGCAAAATACTTTGCTTTTAAATATATAAATATATAATTGTGAATGCTAAAGAGGATTATTATCTTGATGCAGTCCATGACAATGGATGCATACAGTAAAATGGTTGCTCTGTATAATCAGATGTATCATCCTCCAGATTCTAGTTCCAAGAAATGAGTTCTACAGTGTTCTATCTTCTCCAGAGTGTGATGAGCTTGTGTCTGTATATTTTTTATTAGAAAGATTGAAGTGAAGAGTAACACTTTTCTTTTTCTTTTTCTTTTTTATCATCAAAATAAAATGTGATTTTATTGGAAGAGTAGCAAAATAAAATGTAATTTCTTTGTACTCCAAAAGTACGAAGATGATGTACATTATCAGACATGGTTTGTCCCCTTCCGTTCACTGTTAGTGTTTTTCCTACATGAATGAAGTTTGAATCTAGGGTGTTATGTAAACTATTCTAATTCTCCATTATTAGATGAATAGACTCCATTGTTAGTAGAATTTTATTTATTTATCTTTTTGCTTATTTTACTGTAATTACTTTTAAATTTAATGAGTAATTATTTTTTAATGAGACAAAAACAAAAGTATTTATGATCTTACAAAAATCACATAAATACTAGTTTTTAATATTTTCAATTTTCAAATACCAATAGCATGGTTTATGTTAAACTTGACAATAATATTTGAGTGACGTTAAATATTTATATACAAAAACAATTTTGATTTTATATAAAAAAAATTACTTCTTAATCTTCATTACATCAATTATATACAACTATAATATACATTTTATCTTCTTTCCTTGTGCTTTATTTGGTTGAGGAATAGAAAGTAAAAAATAAAACTAGAATGATTAGAAGAAAAGTAGATAAGAAATAAATTATTTAGTATAATAATAAAATAAAAATATATATAAATATATAATTTATTTTATTTAAGTGATAAAAATTTTTGTTGATTTTTTATAATATATATATATATATATATATATATATATATATATATATATATATTCACATAAATCTCTTACTCTCTTCAATAAACATGTTATATAACTATTTTTTTCGTTAGAAATGACCTGAGTTAAAAAAAATAAGGTGAATTTTTAAAATTAAGATAATTTTTTTTTATGTTGCATCATAAAGTCTAACGTAAAATTCGAAATTTATAAGATTAAAGTAATGTCTGACGGCAAAATTTACTCCCAATAAAAATAAAATAAAATTTATGTAAGGTGATATCTTATACCAAATGTAAATTTATGTAAGACCTTCCATTAAGTGACAGACATAAATTTACATAGTTAAAATATGGTCCACGTTGAATAAGATACAACCTAACATAATTTTTGATTTTTTTTTTAATTTATGAAATTCTTATATATATATTCCTCTATTAAATTTATGTTAATTTTTATAAGTTCAATGTATATTACATCGAAAATTTAAATCCACATAAATTTATATTTCTTATACTAACTTGGAAACTTACTCAAACATAAAAATATTAAAAAAATAATAATAGAGTGAAAAACATGTTACGTGGTAGTGATTTTTTTTTTCCATTAAAACTTTTTTTACAAGTCCACGCAAATAATTTAAACAAAATACACACAATTCATATAAATTCCTTCCTCCCATTTGTGATTAATAATAAATCACTTAATTGTTTCTTAATGAAGTCGAAAGACACTAATTAAGTGTTGGTGATATTTCATCAGATTATAATAAATAAAGCACTTTCTTCTTCATTTAAAATGATGGCATTCTTAGACATGAAATCTTCTATTTCTCTATCTGCATGTAATATATATAACCTGCATCTTTTGTTTAATATATGCATTTAACTTACGTTTATATAATATCAATCATATCAGTGTTTCTGTGATCTGAATTGAAACCAAATTGAATATTATGATATGACTTTCAAAATCACGTTCTGTATCCACCCGAGCTCATTTGATGCATTGAATAAACCTGTCTGCTACCTATTCACTAAATTGTCAGGTTTTGACTAATAATGTTAATTTATCCGCCACATCATCACAATTATGATGAGAAGATTATAACCCCACGATCACCCAACACCCAAGTTTCGCATGAACACCACGATGACACGTACGTCTTAGAAAGGTGTGGTTACACATGTTAGATAATAAACATATCTAACATGCTTTGTTTGGTTAAAGTTCAACATATAAATTATTGAATACTATATAAATAGTTCGATCAAGAGTTTCACCTCTCTCACGTTCTCAAAATAGGTTTAAGCCATGGCCCGGGCTCAAAGACAGGTTGGGAGTTTTATATTAAATAAAAACGAAAATGTTGATTAATATATAATATATAAGAAAGAAACATTCACAATATACTATCTTAATATTTTAAATTGAAAGTGATATTAATCACTTACGTGATTACGTGATTTAGACTCATGTTGTTTCTTCTTAATAAATCATCTTCAAACATTCTTAAAATATAAATAAGTTACACTATTAATTTTTTTATTTAACCTATTACCTATTGCAATGTTTTCACTTTCACATGCACAACATTAGAGATTTCCTTCCATAATATACATTCAATTCAACCACTTAATTATCGGTGACAAGTAGCAAATATACTGTTCGGAAATATTGTTTGCATGTATATTTAATACACTTTTGTAATAGAAAAATATATATAAATTAACTGCAACCAAATATACACATGATAACCTGAAAAATCCTTTTTCAGGTGGTAACACGTATGAACACTACGTTTGTCGAAAGTATATTATGACAAAGCTTTGAAGACGAGGATGATCCAATTATTTGTACTGAACCTTATCCACTTGGTCCTTATCATAAAAATCAACAAACAAATCCTTCCCTTGTCGATGTCTTTTGCAAAATCTTATAAAACCTTGCTTCGGTGTTTTGTCTTTGTTTGATTTTCACAATTAATTAATTAACTCTACATATTTTCACTGTTTTCAACCTATCACTGTTAATATTCGATCTTTTATCTATATATTATTTAATTTTTCATTTTTAAGACAGAAGCCCTTCGAATTTGTTATAAATAAGGTTTTTTATTTCACCTTATTATTTTGTATCATGTACTCTAAAGTTTTGTATATGTTAAAATTTATTCTTTAAGGTTTTATGCCTAAACATTCAAACTACATATTTAATAATTTGGTCTCTCTTCTCTACACAAAAATAATTTGTTCTCTCTTTATTTCACAAAATTTGAGACAAGAGACAAATTAAATTATACCACCCATTCAATTCCTTTTTATTATTATTAGTTACAAAATCATAATTGGACATTTAATGAATAAAAGTGAGAATATCTTATGTTAAGAAATTAACCAAATTAAACAAGACATACATAACATATTTGTATATCATGATTATTTCACACATAACATCTATATTTTCTTAGTATATGAATTATTATAATTATAAAAGAAGACCTAAATTTATTTCATAAATTTAATTAGTTTCATTAATAGAATTTACATGTTTTTTTTTTTAAGTTTATGTAAGAAATTCAATTGAAACTTTGATTGTATGGAAACTGAATATAAATGTTTTTAAGCAATCAAATCATTCCAAAATTAATTCTATCAAGTTATTATTCATTACAAGTATATAGAAGGGGTTAAAAACTTATCTAAATTCATATAAAAATACTTGAAGTATAATTTAGTAATTAATAATAATTGATTATATTAGGATATTAGGCATAACCAACTTTTCAAATTTTTTTTTATAAAAATACAATTTGTAAGTATATATAGTTGAGTAGTAACACCTCTCTCAATAATTTTTTTTTCTCGAGATACTCTGTCCGAAAATAAGACACCATTTTTCATTTCTGAATCTTTGATTAGATTTTCCTACTTTTTTTCTACATCTTCTCTTCATTTTTATTTCATAGAAACACCATGGTTATGGCGCATTTTCTATTTGTATAGAATCCGCTTCCAAGAATTCAAAGTTTCACCATTTCTCTGCCAATTTAAGCTTTTATATATATATATATATATATATATATATATATATATATATATATATATATATATATATATATATATATATATATATATATATATACAAAAGTATATGTGTCAATATCGGTTCTAACTTATGAGTCAACCCGGTTTATCATGGGTTCGAGCTGAGTTGAGTTTGATTTTTTCATTTATGTCGATAATGGGTTAAAAATGAATTCGCTCACTTAATCCATAGGTTAAACGGGTTTGAGTCGGGTTAAAAATAAATTATTAATAATTTAGTAATTTTAATTGATATTTTTTTCTCCACCTCTATTTCATGTCGTCACTACAAGTCAAACTCTCACTCAAGGTTATCATCAATTACGTTATAATGTTTATCACGTTTCAGTTCCGCGTTTCAATCGCATCATAACTTTTGTCATGTCAATACCACAGTGTTTCAGTCTCGCATTTCAATCGCGTCATAACGTTTGTCATGTCACCACATTCGTCACACCAATGCATTCGTTACGTTGTCACGTTACCGTGTTTCAGTTGTATCAGCGTTTACTGCACTTCAGCTGTATTACATAATTTGTTGTGTCACCGCGTTATTACGTTCAGTCCCGCTATTCAGTCGTGCTTATTAGAAAAACAAAAAACAAAAAAAAATGTGAGTTATAGTGAGCCAAACACCTAACCTACCAACCCATAGTGAGTTGAACTGCATTGTAAAATTTCTGATTAGTCAATTGAACTTGCCTATTTTCAATTCAGCCCAACTCATATGAACCGGGTTGACTCACTTTCACACCCATATATAGAAGGGATCGATAAGAGTAACATAGGGTTTTTTTTTTCTTTAATGAAAATCCTTCTTCATGTAAGGAACTAAGGAACTGTGATAAAAATTCTTTTTAAACACAAGGGGCTGTCATGAAAATTCTTTTAAAAATGATAGAGTATGATGAAAATTATTTGAGGAATACGATAAAATCACATGAACTAATATCTAATAATATTATAGATATAAAATAATATAATCTTCATCTTATTAAATTAATTTTGTAAAATTGAATTATATAACTTTTTATTTTAATACCGCATCAGAATTAATTTTAATAATATTAAAAATATAAAAAATATTTATCAAGATAAAAGAAATTGACAAAATTTATATTAAT